CATTATCTAGTGATGGACTCAACTATTGCCTCATAACTTACAGATTTGTTTATAGTTCTTGCAGTTAGAAAAAAGAAATTCCTCAGATCATGCTGACTTATCTTTTAAACACAAACTTCTACAATAGCATATTTTGGGAAAATCACATGGTAATCTTGAATCCACCTTTGTCTGGCAGAAACTGCAAGAAATAGCCATCATCTCCAAAAGCCACTGTAACACTACAGATCCCTCCTGCCTCTCCAGTTAATTGGCAGATCATTCCTGGGAATTTTGGGGAAAATGCCTCTAAAGAAGGGTCCAAGCAGGATGTGGTTGTTTACACCTGCAGTTTTTTCCTCAAACATTCATCTGTACTTTTTCTCTGCATCAATCCATAAATAGATCTGTCTCTCACATCATGTATGCACAACACAGGAAGTAAAATAAACTTCAGTCATAAACAAACAAAACCCCCTCAGAACAGAACAACTTACGGATGTTCAGCTTGTAAAATCCAGTCCTTGGCACTGGGATGTGCCAGGACTAGAATGCTGGTACAAGCTTGACTCATGCCCACTCTAAATGAGTTACAGAACTGGAGTTATAACATGAGCCCCAGTTATTTTGCCTAGGGTTCCATATATTCAATGCACTGAAGAGAGTGATTGCTGAATGAGCAACTAGTCACTCTTCATTGGCACGGTGTCTGGGCCACACAGGGAATGTATTTACTGAACACCAGCCAAGCCCTGTGCAGAATATAGAATTATTCATTTACTCCAGGGCGTTTCTTTGGCGTCCATCACTGCAGCAGCCTACTGATTTGGACACCAACATTTCATTATCATCACTGGAGGTGAGGGAGGGTGGGGTCAGGCTAAACCCCATTTCACAACAGGGGCCCAGAAGCCAAAATCTTCGGTTTGAGTGCCAAACTTGTGACAAAGATCGACTGCTTCCCTCACCCTTCGTTCCAGGTTATTTAGCATTTCCCATCATTGTCTATGGTAAAACTCATTTCCAGTTCCATTGGTCAGATTCAACCCTTGGTGTCCCAAAGAGAACATGCAGAATCTGGGAGACTTGCAAAGTGGCCATCTGTGAAGAGCTGAAGGACTGTAGAGGATCTCTATGCAAAGCACAAAAAAGACAAACCCGTATTTCCCTGGCAGTTTTCAGCTTGCACTAATTACAAGAGTGGACTTCTCTTCCAAAAACACATTGTGGTTGCTGATAAAGCTTTCCCAGAACTGATTGCAAGTGTGTGCAAAGACAAAAACCCCTCAGTACCCAACTTTGAGATGCAACCATGCTCAACCCAAAACTTTTACCACCCCTGACAAGGTTCACAGCCTGGACCTGCTCTGAGCAGTGACCTCTGGCAGTGAACAGACAGGAGACTCAGTGCCTTACAGAGCTACTGCCCCATCTCCTGCTCCTCAGAGCTTGCCCTGGAGATGGGCACAGGGTCTGTCTCTTGAGCTGAAACTTCAAACACTAGTAAGCCCACAACTAGAATTTGTTTAGCAAGAGTAGAGAATGATGCTTACACATAACCCTCAACAATATTTGACTCACAGGTAGTTCTATATTTTCATTCCTAATTCCTGCAAAATTCCTCCAAGGCTCTTGTCATACCTTTTCAGACAAGATGCAGTTACATAGAGCAGCCCACCACAGCCCTGTGTTTTAGGAGTCAGATTTAAAAGTGGAGTTATTCAAGAAGTGAAAGGCAAAGCCTGTCATTTTTTGTGCAGGGGTAGAGAGGAACTCAGAGTACACTCAGCACTGGTTCCTTTGATGATTGCATGAGTACATATATGTGGCTTAGACCAGAGTTTTCTCTGCAATTCTTACTGTAGGAATTGAAAAGAAACTGAAGCAGAAATTCCTGTGCCAACACTGTTTATTGGATGAATCAGCTTGCATATCCAACAGGGAACTATTCCCACTTGAATTTGTGCTTTGTTCTCATGGCAGGCTCCAGAGACCCCATGTTCATCTGTCTCCTGACTGACTAGCTCTACTGTAGTCCCAAGAGTTTTTTAAGGACAGAAAGGTGATATCTTCTCTAGGTTATTTTTTTGTTTTCTGAAATGTGAGCATGGTGCAGGCTTTGCTCCCTCAGACACAAGGAAGCTGCACTGTTTGTTTATTCTGTGCCATTTGTGGCCAATCTGCCAGATGCAAATCTAATGGTAGAGTCTGCAGCAAAGCAAAGCAACATTCTACATCCCCTTACAACACAAGAGCTTGGCAAACCACATTCCAGGCATGTCCACAGCACCCAAATGCATTTAACCCACACAGCAAATACAGGAACACAGTACTGGTGATGGAGAATATCAAAGACCACAGAGGAAGGAGGATGTGGGGACAGTGGGGAGGATTCTCAACTTGCAGTGTGGTGTCTGTGATGATTCCACACAGACTTCCACTGTTCTATTGCATCTTTGGGAGAAGTGGTGATGGGAGTGGTGGGAACGTGGCTGCCATGGGTGTGTGAAGCCCTGCAGCTCCAACACACCTGCTTGAACAGGGAAAGCACTGCGAGCTGCCACCATTCATCCACAGGGAAAGGGGAGAGCACTATATGTGGGAAGGCACCTCCACAGCCAGGGGTGCTCCTGAGGCCACCTCCATGGATTCCATCCCTCCCCCCAGCCCTCCCCAGGCACAGCACCCATCCCACAGGTGGCCACGGGCAGGGGCTGGGGGAGGCCTGGCAAGCACAGAGCCCAGCCTGCACCACTTGCCTGTGACTGAGCAGGTACAGAACATCCATCAGCAGGAGCCTGGCCCTTCCCTGGCTGCCCTGGGAGCTGCAGGAGCAGGTGGGAGCTGGGAAATGGCTGCTGCAGGCCTCAGGACACCGAGCACGGCACACACAATGCAGCCTCTGTTCAAAGCATGCAGCAACAGAATCGAAACCACTTCATCTCAAGGGGCATTCAGGCCTGGAGCCGCGACTGGCACCGGGACAACTCTCCAGAGTGGCAGAGCTCCTGCTGAGGGAGCAAGTCCTGCCTGCCTCCCCTGGATACAGCAGTGTGCAGGGGCTTCAAGGACCAGGGCCTCTGCATTTGTCCAGCCACAGTCTGTGTTGTAATCTTCGCTGCAGTGTTGTTCTTGCCTCTCTGCTGGGGCTCTTCTCCATTCTCTACAGCACAGTCCTTTCTGTCTTCTCAGGGGCTCCTCTTGGGCTCTTGACCCACCCCTATTTATCTCAGTTACCTTCACGAGCTACAGCTGCTGCCCAACTAAGGACCCTGCAGCTGCAGCTCGTTTGGAGCAACTCGGACCCACACAGATCCCACAACACAACATATATTCAGGCCCCCACATTGACACACACAGATCTTACAATACAATATATATTCAGGCCCCCACAAGTCTGAATTTTCAAAGCTGTATCTCAGAAAATGAAGCAAGATCGGTTTTTTTCAGATTTATAACTGAATGCTCAGGAGCTTAAGCCTCTGTTTCATTACTCCACTGTAACAGGAACATGGATCTGAACCATCAATCACATACCTCTCCAGAGCTGCAGTGAATATTATTTCAGGTACTCTTGACTGCAGTTCTCTTGTGGGAGAGGCAGGTTGTTCACAAGGTTACCAGAATACTGTTTCACCTGTGCATGCAGCAGGCAATCCAGCAACAAGATGCAGCTCAGCTTTGAGATGATTAAACAGGCTTGAGGGATCCAGTTCAGTTGCAGCTACACAAAACCAACTGTAAAAAGGCTTTATTTTTTTCCCCTCAGTACCCAGAGTGCAGAACTGAACTCAGGAGACTCTTCCCCTCACAGAGGCTTCACAGACTGATTCTTATGTTAAGACAAAAGTCTACAAAAAGACTTGAAATGCCACCACAGTTTGCCAGGGGAATAGAATTATTCCCAAAGCCAAAACCAGAATAAGATGTTATCAGTTACTCAGCTTCAAAGAGCACCCAACATACACCTAATATTCTTGTACACTGTGATTCACAGGCATGAGATATTGTTAAAGATGCACTTTTAAGTTAAGGCTTAAAAAAAAAGCCTTCAGCTCTTTAAATATTGGAGCTGTTAAAGAAACCACAAAGCAATCAGCTTTTGAAAGCTTTTCTGTCATAGGGAGAATGCCATGAATCACACACTCATTAGCAGATATGTGCAAATCTCTGCTGCAACACAAGGACAGAGCTCAACCACTTTGCCATCCAAAAGTCATCTACATTTTATGCTCGTTGTTCAGAACTGTAACACTTCATTAGAACTTGCAGTTTATGGCTTTGGAATGTTGCAGAAAATACCACAGCAATAAAAAAAATACTGCACCTGTTCAAAACTGTGAAAAATTTATTTGAAACTTTCATCTGCAGTATTTGGGTTACCAGTTACACCTGAGGTACCAGCTAAAGCATCAGGTGCACGTTGCAATGCCAAAAAATATGCAAAATAAATTATTTAATAAGTTAGGCAAGTCAAAAAGTTTCTACCTGTGGTGGAAATCAAGCATGGGGAAGCTTTAGCTTAACCTTTAAACATTGTGAAAGGCTATCTATCATCTTACTGCATTTGCTATGGGCCACCTCAATGCAAAAAGAACAATATAATTCTAATTTATCATTTAAATTTGGTAATTTTCATTACCAAATCTAACATCTGCAGTGTCTGCATTACAAAAAAATTACCTCTCTGTACTGAAGAAAGCAATATGCAGCTCTCACTGGAGATTCAGGGGTTTCTCTTTTACCCAAACCTTACAGACACCCTATTACTACACAGCCACATCACACCAACATAACCAACCCCATGGCCATCCTCAAATCTTGGGTCCTCTGTTAAAAAACAGAAAAACAACACAACAAAAACCATAGGATTAACAGCAATGAAGGAAAATTATAGTTTTGTTTCCTCTTACCAAACTAAATTCATTTGCAAGACCATTTAGCTTACTGTTCTCATCTTCACACATTTTCAAATATAGGTATCACAGTAACTGGAGTCTGTTTAAAAACTAAGTAGTTATTTTTCAAAATTTTTGATAAGTTTTCAGATAAAAAGCTTTTAAAAAATAGTGGTTTTCACCAGAATCTACCAATAATGTGTACCATTTTGAAAAATTTGGGTGTGCTGCAAACACCCTTTCTACCCCCAAACAGAAAGTTGTTGATCTAAACTTTAATTCCCAGTGTCATTACTTGGGAGTTTTGCTAAATGCAGTACAGTATCCTGTAAGTTTCTGTATAGATCAGAACTTGGTTTGCTAAGTCACCTTAAAGATAAAAATCTGAGCTGCTCCCTTTCCAGGCAGTATTTGTGTGCTAATAATGCCTTTCTGCACACCCATTTTACTCTGAAGGAACATTTCCAGCTTACAGAGGAGCAGCATGTTTTATTCCTGGGCACATCTGTTTCCTACACTTTAACTCCACTCTTGATCTAGAAGTGTTATCAACTAAATTTATGAAGCACTTAAGCACTAAGTATCTACGTGAATCTCTCCTCAGCCCCTTAACAGAAGAGAGTAGGGAAAGAACACAGTGTGAAAAATAATGAAAGATCTGAGTGTCAAAATAACTCTGGCAATCTTAAATGTCATAGTCTTACCTAGAAAGAAGAACTGGCACTTTCTCATTTCTAAGTGATATTAAAAGAAAGCAAGATGAATTTTACAAGTTTTATTATACAAAAAGTGATCCAAAGCCATGAGTACTCTTCTAAAAGTTCTAAAAGTTTTGTTCTGTAACTTATACTTCCATATGCTTTTCCAAAAAGTCAATGTAAAAAGCCTCATTAGTCCCACTTTCTTCTTAGCAAGAGTCTTGAAAAAACCAACCATAGCTGCATCAAAATTTATTCTTTGTAGTCCAGGAATTGCTGAAGTCTTTTCTTATGTTCTGTAGACACTTGTACAGCACTAGAAACAAATGCAGAACATTTTATATTAGAAGTAATACAGCACAAAAATAAAGTCTCATGCCAAAATTGAGTGTACATTGAAATCAATTACACTGAAGCTAAATTTTAGGAAAAACCATCTATGTTCCACAGCAAAGAAGCATATTAACCCTTGAAACTGTCAATTCTTATCCTCAACAGCTTCTAAAAAATACCTATACCAGGAAACCTTGCCCATTTCCTTACCTCTAAACAGCAACTGATTCACTTGCAAGGATGGTTTAGGTAAGAAAGAATCTCCTCAAATGATCCCTCCTGTATACTGAGCACTTCTAAACTGAGGGACATTTCATCCCCAGAGGGAGAGATGGGCAGAAACTACAGGAAGTTTCAGTCCCACATATTCTAAGGCCAAGTATGGAAGTTTGCCTGCTGGGAGAGTGGCTGAGGAAGAGCTGTTGGACAACCAGGCAGCAATGGAATTTCATTATTTGGACCCCTCATAGGATTTTCTCCCTGCAGAACAATTGCCTCTAGTTGATTTATCTTCTTTTCAGCAGCTCAGATTTATTAAACAAGTGGTATTCATGAACTGCTTCTAAAGAGTTCATGAAAAGTCACTAAGAAAAATTGCCCAGAAATCTATGAATAATAAATTTGAAGGGGGACCATATATCTACACAGGAACTTTTTAAGGTTCCACAAATCAAAAAAACCCTAAAATACCACATAATAATAATGAGCAGAAGGGATTTTTTTACCTAAATCTAGATTTTTCACAGGTCCTACAATAACATGAATTAAACTAAATTTAACAAGGAAGCAATCATGAGGAAGTTCTTACTTCAAGTGTTCTCCAAAGACAGTAGTTATCCTGTAGAGAGCTGTTTTCAGAGATGCTCTAAGTGCAAATCTTAGTGTTTTGTAGGATGTGTCCACCAGGCTCCCTGAAATCCGGGGAGGTTTGCTAGAAACATGTGGCAGTTTGAAATGTCTGTCTACGACCTGATGAGAAAAACAAACAGATTCCTGTCATCTGTTCAATTCTTTCATAAGGTAACTAGAGACATGTTTGTGTCAAATAAAGCAAAAACAAAGTGCAAGTTCAGAAATTCCACCAAGACACACAAAAATGTTTTGGAGGCTGAGCATTTCCCAGCCATCAACAGGAACCCAGAACCAAGTTCTGTGAAATTAGATTCTGAGTCTTTAGCTAAGAACACCACATGCTGCAGGAGAAACACAATTCTGTCCTGTATTATGACTTGTTTCTTTCACAAACAAGGGCATTGGCTTTCTTTCCCCCTGGTGCCTGTTCTTGGAAGAGATGACTTACACTGAAGAACTTTAATAACCTCTAAATTCTTTCCAAGAACCTCCATTAGGGCAGTGTGAAATGGTTATGTTAATAGGACATGGATAGCCTTGGAAATAAATCTGGATTTTTTAAAACACATTACACAAACATCAGTAATTTGAGAGTAGTGTCTCTCTATTAGCAGAGACACAGATTTTATCTCTTGAGATTTGCAATGTCTCCAAGTGCTCCATGTTGCACCAGGAACTGTGTGCAGCAAATAAAGATTAAGTTCTAACTCTGCAAAAGATTTTGTATTAGAATTGCTGCATCCCTGAAATAAACTCTTCAACTGAGCACACATTTCTTTAAAATTAAACATTGCATATTTTCTCCTTCCACATTTTAAAAACCAACAGGTTTTTTTTTATTCAGTTGTTTCATAGTGTACATAGTGGCAGCTGTTTTGGTTATATTAACTGCAGAAGAGCTGTTTAAGTGGCAGCAACTTCAATGTTATGACTAGTCAGCAAGGTTATTATGTAAAATCAACAGGACTCCTCCTCCTCTCCTAAACTTGCCTTGCAGCAAGGAAAAGTTAAGTTTTACCTCCTGAAGAGTCAGTAGCGTGTTCAGGATAGCTGGCAGTGTAGTTTGGACAACTCCAAACTGGTCTTCAGTGAAGGAGGCTGCTACCAAGTGAGACAGACCTTTAAAAAAAGAAAATTTGTTGTAATTCATGCTTCAAAAGGTGAGAAGCATAAACTTTGATACTGAAAATTATGGTGTTGCCTGAAGATTCCACCAATGTGCTGGAAATACCTCCAGACTTGCTGCTGCCAGCTGAAAGTCACCTCAGCTGTGGACCACTCACTGGTTTGACAGGTGTGTAATAGCTTGAGGTTGGTAAAGCAAGAGAGATTATATAAAAATTATGTGTGATTCCCATCTCCAGACACTACATTCCAAGCCATCACCTTCAATCTGACACAGCATGGCACACTGGCCCATAAAACACATCACCAAGGAAAATGATCAACTTTGCACAGTCAAATGTAATGGAAGATTCTGTCAATATCAGGGTTTACTCACAACTTTGAAAGAAACAATAAAAATCCAAAATGTAATTTCATACTGTCATTGTTCTTCTAATTCTCTGCAAACCATCCTTTTGTTTATTTGCTAAGTTATTATCTGAGTGCCTCCCTCAGCTCTCTGATAAACACAGACCCAGAGCCTTTAGTCAGAAAAGCTGTTGTAAAAAGGCATCATAAATCTGTCACTAGAAAAATGTAAAAGTGATACATGGGTTCACATGAGAGAGAAGCACCAGAAATCAAGTTTAGGAATCTGTACAGAACATAAAGTAAGAGATCTCACATGGGATCTCAAAACTAACGAGTGAATTACACTTTAGTCATGTTGGTGTCTGAAATGCAGTTGTGTTTTTATCAAAAGCATTTCAAATATTTTTATTGGTACATTTATAAAGCACAGAGCCCTGTGAGTTTTCCATGAACCAACAGAGTGGATCACCTGGAAAGCACTTACCTTCCAAAGCCCAGATGTGCATTTGGGCATCACAGAAGACAGCCTGGATGGAGGCTTCTGGGTGCTGACAAAGAAACCAAAGTGCTGTGAGTGCACTTTATAAATAATATTGCCAAACTTGCAGCTTTCAGAACAGACCTGCAAGGCCAACAGATCTTGGGAAATAGCCAGAAAAATCTGATCTAAAGTAGAATTATTTTTTTGGACAGAAGCTGCCCACAATGCTACAGCTGTAACTGAGGAGGAAAAAAAAAAGGGGGGGTGGGAGGAAGGATATACACTACTTAATTTTTAAGGGCTAAGAACACTAAGTAAAACACAGTTTCTAATCACATGAGTTTAAAAAAGCATTATTATTCTTATTTTCTGCTGATATGGGACAATCCTGCTGTGAAAGCCACAGCAAGCAAGAAGGTGTACTTATGGAAAGCTTTAGATGAAAATACAGGATTTAAAGCCATTATCTGTGTCCCAAACACAGGACCACCCTTACCTTGCTGAAGAAATACATTATCAATGCCCGTTTGGACAAGAAGTTTTTTATCTGAAAAGAAACAAAAGATTAAACATGTCATCTGTATTTATTTAAGGCATGCACAGTTGGCCCTTCTCAACCCTACCACCTTCACACAGCATAAAGGCATTGGGAGTGAAGGATTTGTGGGAGAGAAGGAAGTATTCATTCCATAAAATGGAAAATCCTTCCAGAGAGGTATCATCTAAGCTGCACCCCCCTATGCACTGAAATTTTACTCCACCTGTTCTTGCTTGTTCTGAAGCCATGTGTAAATAAATTTTGGCTGCACTGCCTCACTCCCAGTTCTTGCAGCAGAGAGCACAGGGGAGGGTTCATGGTGGGAACCATTCATTTGCTGATCTGCAAGAAAAAAAATACAGCATCTTCAGAAAAACTGATTGCTGGCACCTTAATCCTCACAATGCAGCTCTCCAATGTCAAGGCCACTACATTTATGGCTCTGAACTCAAGTGCTGTGGAAGAATCTCTACCTGAAACCGACGTCCACAGCTTTGGTCCCCTCCTCGTGACATGGGGACTTTGAACTGTTCCATGCCAAGGAGATTTTACATCCACAGCTCCCATCTTGTAACTTAAAGCAGGAGAGCTGAAAGGTGAACCAACATCAGAGCCAGGAGACATCTTCACAGGCATCAGGGATGGCTTAACCAGGGGAGACATGGAGGCTCTGAGAACAATGTTGGACCTCTGTGACTGGAATGACATATCTTCTATCCCAGCAGCTCCTAGGGACAAAGAACACGCTGCATGAAGACAGCAGGCTGGCACAGTGACACGGGAGATGGCTTTGTTATTTGATTGCTGTTTCAATAACAACTTGAAAGGACATGGTTAGCACTCTGGTCTTGCAAAGAAGTACACATCAACATAAGCACGGAGCATTTTCAAAGTTCAAGTTTTCATCGGCTTAAAACCAGCAAGTGATGAGAAAATAAATATAAAATATAAATATAAAAATAAATTTAAATAAATCTTGTGCATTTATTCATTTTACTCCTGCTAGCCAACATTACAACACCCTGATATCCATGTACATAAAGTGGGCACTTAGCATTAAGCACTAGAAAAAAGGCTGTCCATAGAAGAATGAAAAGCCATTCTGATTGGCATGTAAGAAAAGGCATGTCTGTCTGCAAATCCAAGGACCAGCAGCACGAGAAGAAATTCACCAGTGGCACACCAACAGTGCCTGCTGTTGCCAGGGCCCTGCCTGCTAAGGGATTCCATTACCTGGCAGCCTCGTGCTAACACAGCTGTGCTGCCAGCAATGATGCCCAAGCCTGGCATGTAAAACACCCAAAATGCCTGGAGGCTGCTCACAGCTCAGGAGTCAGACTGGGCTTTCCCCACTCTACCGTGATATTAGCAAATCATACAAACATAAACAGAACATAATTTTATCATCTTAAAACTAATCATAAGAGCAGTTATGCAAATTACAGAGCATCTCTTGGCAAGACTTAAATTCTCCCTGTGCTGTGTTGAACTTACTGAAACTGTGATAATCAGACTTTTTTTATTCATGCAAGTATGGAAAAAATACTGTATTGAGCCTAATATGCAAGTAAACAAACTGAGTAAACATGATAACTGCAAGTTTTCTAGCTATTTTGGGATTACTTCAACACAAATACCTAAAATTAACTGGGGGAGGATCTTTTTTGTCTGTATTTATTTGCACAAATCCCTCATTTTCCTCATAAAATTTAATTGAGACTAAGGTATCTATTGCTACCTTCACACTTTACAAACCTTTATGAGCACTTCCTCACATACCTGGAGTCTGTGGAGGTACTTTCAGCTCTCCCACTGGTGGCTTTGCTCTCCCATTTGCTGCTGCTGCTTCCTGCTGTGCAATCAGCCTCTGGGTCAGGTCACTGAGGAGACTCAGGCACTCCCGGGATATTGCAGTCCAGTTGTGTGGGTGCCCACCTGGCAGGGCACACAAAGAGCAGAGTTTAACCCAGCTGCTCCTCCCTGCATCCCTCTGACAGTGCCCGTGTGCTCTCAGCAGGAGCCTCGCTGTCACAGCATCACTCTGCTTCTAAAACGCCACAGGGCATTTCCACTGTGACAGCTTGTTTGTGCTGAGAGAAGATGAAAACATGGACAGATTCAATGGATAGCTCTAAAAAGAGCTCAGTGAAACCTGCTAAGCAAGCAGGCAACACAGGCAGTTCAGCCCATCAGAGCTGAGATCACTGAACAGCTAAAATGAACAAATACCACTGGTGATGTCAACACAGTTGTGAAGCAGTACAAACACTAGAATTCATGATAAAGTGCTGCAAAAAGTTCCTGAGGGCTTCTAAGCAGTTTTAATTGACCCCCTCTGCCATATCTGAGTACAGCAAAAGGACTGTGCACTAACTGAAGTTCAGCCAGTGTTTGCTCTCACAGCTGCAGTGGTGACTCAGTATTTGTACCTGATTTCCCCTCACTCACACACACCTCCACATTCAGCTCCCATACACATCTCTTAGGTTATCCAGTCTGGACTGTCTCACTGGTGCTGTGAAGTGGGCCCTGCTTTCAAAATCCTAAACCTCTATCTCCTCCTAGCTGTCATTAAATCCAACAGACACCACATCTGGTTGAGTTTAGCAGATGAAACAATATGAATATAAAATAATTAAGCAGCCTTTTGGAAAAGGCACCACAGGGAAGAAGCTTATGCAGCATACCTTGCAACACTACATAATTTCTAAGAGTGTTTGACTAATGATTTAAAAAAAAGGAATCAACACAAAATAATTTTTATAATTACCTGGCTGACTGAGGCTGAAGACTTCCTGTCGTCGAACAGGAGAATACTGGGAAAGTAACATCAAGTCTTGTAAGGCTAAAAACTGCAAAGAAAGGAAAATATTTTAGTGCATGCAAAATCCACTGTATTTGCTTTAAAAATATGTAGTTATCCATCCAAAATCAATCCCTACCAAAGAATGAGTTCACACTGGCTAAAACCAGTCATGTAACACAAAGAGAATGGAGGCAAATCCCCAAAACCACCCTGGATGGGGCTGCAGAACTATTAAAAGCTTTAGTGAGAGATCAATTCTCAGGAGTTCAAGAAGATCTAACACTTGTTTTATTCTAATAGGTTAGGCAGAAAGATATTAAGACACTAAAAAGTCTAAGAAAATAACTGTTTTTGCAAACTAGACCTCAACTACAGTTTTAGGGTCAGTGCCTTATGGGATCAACCTATCACTGCTTTTTGTTGGGATTAAGCAATTCATGTGCCAAACTAAAAATAAACCAGATTTCTCACAATATTCAAACCTCTGTTATAAACTGGACATTTTAATGATATCTGAGATCATGTATTAGATTTCCTGTTCCTTTAATTGTTTGTGCTCAACTCTTCCCACCCATCCTCAGATAATGCAGCAAAGCTTAAAAAGGTCTTGCAGCCTATTGTATCTCCAGCCTTATCAGAAATCTGTAAAATCAGTACAGGTAAAATTTGCATGTGCAAGTGAAAATTCTTATCTTTATTTACATAATACATTTTAAATGAGGTCTCCAATTTCTAAGTGTTATAATCAGTAAGTCCTATTAATATTTACCATAGACCAAAATTCCTCTTCTTTACTCACAGGTTTTAAGTAGTTTTTTACTATTGCCTTTTAGAAAAAAGAAATCCAACTTCCAACCTAGATATGAAATATTTATATTTCATATTTATATAAATATTTAAATATTAATATTTTCAATTTCAAGAGAGAACACACATGTGTGTTGCAGGGACAAGATGTTGAGAGTACAAAGGTTTGAGAAAACACCTGCTTATGTGACAAGACTCAAAGTTGAGCTACAAAAACCTGAATGCCACTAAGCTGCTGGTTTTGCATCAATACACACCATGAGGTTTCTGCTGCACACAGATCTTACCTCTAACACAATGAATCTTCAGCTAACAGTAACAGCATGGTGAGCACCAGCAGATGTCACCACTACACAAATTTTCATCATTAAATGCAACAGCCTGGGAGTGCTCTGAGGCAGCTCCTCAAGGAATCAACACCTCAGTGACCAGAAGTGGTACCTGGAGGATGTGACTGCATGAAAAACACCTTTTGAGCACACACCTGTCAGGGAGAGGCAGGAGTTCCATTACCTTTATAAGGAGGGGAGGATTGCTGTTCAGAATTTTAGGCAGGCACTGGTCTGTCTCCTGAGCAAACGTTGGTTGAATGGGAAAATGATGACTCTAAATATAAACATCAAAATTTATGTTATACAGAGGAAAGTACAAAAAAGTCTTATGAAAGACCAGTAAACTGGCCTGGAATTTCTAACATAGAAACAAAAAGTTTACTCCTTTCATTTAAAATTGAAAAATCTTAGAAAATCCAGATATCTTCAAATTAATATGCTCATGTGGCTAATGACACAATTTCCTGAATTTTCAGTTAACACTATGCAAATATTTAAAAGCAACTTTGGAAGTTATTTAGCTCATTCAGAAAAACAAAACCACGTGGATAAACAAATCTTTTCTCATCAGCCAAAAGGGCAAAGTGCATTTTGTACTTTCACAGATGGATGATTTCTTTTGTCTTCCACAGTTTTACAAGCAATACAGTAATTAGAGATGTTGACAAGGTGTTCACTGGTGCTTGTTATTATCCTTTGAGACAGGTTGCTCACACCTCAGAGCTGTTGTCATGCTTGACTCATTGTTGATCTTTTTTCAATGTAGTCACAACAACTACACCTTTCTAATTAAAGCTAATTAAACACCCCAGCAGCACTGTATTTGCCATTTCATTCCATGAGTACTTTGCACCAATACATTGACTCAGGATTTAAACCTTACTTTTTTTTTTTTTCTTTTACCAAGAGTCTCATAGTGTTTTAATTTAAAAAAATTAAAATCAAGTTAGACGAACAATTTTTTCCTCTCTAATGAAATATCTGGAAACAGAAGCAGAGGAGTAAGAGGAACAAAACATGAATTTTGTAAGGAGCACAGGTCTAGGGAAAAGTCAATTAATGCCAGGCCTCTCTTGACTATTCAGTTATCAGCTACTATCTGTATAGCATGCTGTGAAAATTCCAGAATTATGAGTCATTTCCTAGCAGAACTGCTTTTGAAATGAAAGAATTATCTGTGCCACACTGGTGATGTAAGTGGAGCACTGTCACAAGCACTGACCTCTGTGGCATAGATTTTGAAGAGCAGCCAAGCAATGTACCAGGTCATCAGGAGGAACACACCACTCAGCCAGGTATGGTAAAACAAGGAGAGATCCAATAAGCCACTCAGAGTGTCAAGAGGATGTAATTTGCTGCAGATAAAATAACCAAGGGGATATAGTATTTTAGTATTCTTATTAAGAATAATTAATGAAATTTAGGGAAAATAAAGATGAATTAATCATGACTACAGTTTTAGCCAATTAACATATTAAGACTCCTGGTTCCTTATTTTAAAACTGACAATAGTCATTATAAAATAAGGATATTCCCCCTGCCCTCACTCCCCCTAAAAAAAACCACCATAGAAAAATCAGATAAAACTCATAGATGCAATCTGGAGTGTCTACCCTTTCTAATACTTCAGACACTAACAGAAAAAAAAAAAAAAAAGTGATTTCCGAATTACTATCTTAATGACAAGATGGTTCCTAGAAGGGGATGCTGGTTCCTTTAGGATTCATTTCAGAAAATGCCAGAGCTCCCCACATTTTGTGTGGGGAAACAAACAACTGAGTCCTGCTGCCAGGCTGCACTTCCTCAGCAAAGGAACCTCTCTAGAATATTCCAAATTTCCAGCACCATGTCCTCCTACCTGTCTGTATGAAGGCCCATCGTGGTACATATCCAAACCTTTGGGATGTAACCTAGGGGTTCAAAAAGAAACTCTGAAACAAATACAACACTACAAAACACACACACAGTAGGCAAAAAAAAAGGAGACAAAAATAGAATTTATGCAGAGACAAGAGACTGGTCTTCTAACTCACATGGACAAGGAAACAATCTGCCTTTGGGGTTATTGTGTTTCAAGAAACACAAAAAAGAGAATGAAAAAAGGCTTCAGGCTAGCAGCTGTACACTGAGAGATGTAGGCCTCCTCTTTTATTGCTGCTTCTCAGCAGTGAGTTAATTGTGTTTCCTCACTAACAAAAGAGGGTTAATAGTAATTTAATATTAATTTTCACTACAGCCCAGGCAGCAGCAAAGTGCTTTTAAAGACTTAATGGAATCTGATACAGAAACACCATACTTCTAATTCATCCCCTGATGTAAATAAAGGGATAATAGTTCTTGCATATTTTGACATCATTTAGGAGGATAATTACAACCCTAACAAAGAATTCCTGATTCTTACAAAGTCCGGTGCCATCATCTTCATCAGCACAGATTTTGTTTACCACAGACCAAACTCCATTTTCACATGGGAGGGAGCCATCCTGCCTCCCTCCAAATAATATACCTGAGATATATAAAAATATATCCAAATAATATACCTGAGAGCAAAGCCAAAGGGCTGATCTTTGCCTAAAAAAATGCAACATTTCACATTACAGGGAAGTCCTGCCCACTGCTGGATGCCAGGCTCAGCTCTGGGACACCACAGCTCCACTCCCAGGCAATGGAAGCAGCAGTCCAAAGCCTGATGGATCAAAGTTTTCAAACACAGGAATTACAAATTTAAAAAAAATAAGAGAATTTCAGGAACCCTTACCAAAAAAGTAATATGTGACACAGAAGTTTCTAACAAAATAGAGTGATTCCACACAACTGTGTTTTATCAGGAGAGGCAAAGATCTTCTGAAACGTAAATACTTGTATTGCTAAAACCAAACAAAATAAATAGTTTAGTATTCCACATGCAGAATTAATCAATGAAACAGTTAATAAAAATAATACAACAAAAAAGGACAAGGTACTTGAAAGCCTGAAGTCTAGATCAACTAAAAACTTAATTTAAGGTAATTCCAGGTGTTAAATTTATTAATTATGCTCCCAATCTTTCCTGACATTTTATAATCATCTCTAGTTCTTATCCAGTTTCCTGCTTATAGCAGTGAAAATCAAGAATGGGTAGACTGACTCAATACACAAGGGAACAAACCAAAATAATCCTGTCTAATGCAAAACAAAGGAAAAAAAAGGGCATATTTAATCTACTAGATTTCATTTACATTCTAAAAGTTCAATTAAAATATAGGGAAAATTTAGACAAGCCTGGGTTCCAGAGTCAGTAATCCTTGAAGCAGCAAAACCAATATAACAAATAGATAATCTACATATATTTCCAAATGACTGAAGCAACTCAGCTGACAAATGAAACCATGAAAATGAAACTATGAAAATGCAACCAAAGTGATTTTTTATTTTACTAGCTTGCATTAAGGAAGAAAAAAAAAAAAGGGAAAAACACCAAATACAAACAGAAAACCTAAAGAAACAACAACAAAAAAAGGAGAATTAACAATATTGAAATAGATTTTTTTCTAAATATTCTAACTACAACACTGCCAAAATGCTGCTTGGTTTGCTGATGAATGGTCAGCAAAATGCAGCACACATGTTTTCCTCCATAACACAACCAACCTTGGTGAAAGACATCTCTTGCCAAATTGTTTGGCCTGTGTCACTCTGGGAATCAGGCAAAGTTAAAGGCTGCTGTGAGGCTGCAGTAACAGAAATATTTTTAAGGTGATGCTTCACACTGGTACAGATTTCTGCAGGACTCCTCCAGAGGAATTAATGGAATTTCAGTTTCCATAGTGCTACACACAAAAAAGCTTTGGATGTTGAGCTCTAAGCCAGATTTAATGTGTTATTTAGACTTGAACTGAAGGGTTTGTTTTTTTTTAACTGTCAAGATTTTCAGCTTTTAGGTGACCCTTGTTGTCAGTTCCTGAAATTGATACCCAGTTTGTGCACATTGTCTTTTTTTCCTGTAGTTCACCTGCCACCTCAGCCAGCTCTGAACTGGCATCAGAGGGTGTAGGGTAAATGTTAAAGAGTCACAGCATCCCAATTTCTGTGTTCATTTAAAAGGAGCTGAACAGCAGGAGCAGGATGAACACTACTGGCATTTAAAGCTGGGTGCACACTTCATCTATCAGTGACAGCAGATGCACACAGGCAGCTCCTGCTGCCACACTCATAAATTATCCAGGCTTTTCTGAGCACTGTTTCACTCATACATGTCCTTCTACAAAGATGCTTAAAGCTCTCACCTGTATGATTGGAAATGGCAAATAATTCATGTTGTTAATAAGAAAGAAGAGGCTGTAGCTGTATCCCAAGAAAGCTCCAGAAAGCAGAAAGAAGAGGTGATACTCATTTAGGCACATCTGAGGAACAGCATCTTCTAGGCTAAAATAGAAAACTTAGAATCAATTCTGAGTTCACAACAAAAACCTTAGGAAACTCAAATCAGAAGTTTGATTTTGCTGATCTATACATCTGATGATATCTCATCAAGTTTTTTGTTAAGTAGGAATTCCACCACCTGTTTTTGTAATATATGCATTGAACATGCACCATTAACCACAAGACCAGGACTTAGCTCAAGTGACAACCAACTTGTCATCAAGAATGAAGAATCCATTAAGAATCCTGGAAATATAGTTTTTCTGGTCCAGTTCTCTGTGCACTGTAACATTTACAAAGGGGAGCATTTTTTGTTCTTTGATAAAGAAAATCAACATACAAGAGTTGGGTTTTTAGAATACCCAAATTCTTGGGATTCTTTTTGAAAGAAACTATCAGTAGATACATTTTACAATAAAAGTTTTGTTTATCTTTGACACACACACAGTTACCTTTCTGAAGGTGTGCAGGACACAGCAAGAAACTGGAACCTCCCTTTTGTCATGACTGTAGCACACCAAGCAACCAACATTCCCATGATAGCATGAACAAAGGAATGGATCACTTGCTGAGGGTGAATAATTTTTCCTATCAGTGCTAATCGAGAGCATGGTATTGATGGCACCACTGTAAATAAAAGCAGAAAAATCATTTTTATTTCTTACCAATAAAATCTTTCATTAAAATAAAAAAGAGAAACCCCCCACCATTGTCAGGATCAGCCACTAAATTATAAATGATCATCCTATTTAATTTAGGTATCAAAGACAGTTCAATAATTCACACAACCCACCTGCATAAAATTCAACGTTGAAGATGCTTATTACTATTATCACCACAGACATCAGGAAGATACAAAAGATGACATAAGAAGTATACAAATCATTGAAAGACTCTAAAAAAATAAAAATATTATTGTTCAGAAAATTGCAATAACACAGCAGCAATGCAGTAAGTAACAGAAAAGAGCACTTAAGCAATGGAAAATAATCCACTGAAATGCTTAAAGGGGAGTAATGGTCAATGGACTTTCTAATCCCACATGAGGTCTGCCCAGCTACACAACATTTCTGCACAAAAGCAAATTTAAACTTCATAGAAACTATTTGACACCCTTATAACTGGTTTTCTTATAAGTCAACACTCAGAAGTTTGTTTAAAAAAAAAATCAAAACATTAAACTGTGGCTCAAATATCACATTTCCATTCATTTAAGAAAAGCTGCAGCCATCCAGCCACACCAAAAAGAGAAGAAATTTCTTACAGAGTGGTTCTTTGAGCTTTTCTATTTTCAAGGGAGGAAGTCAATTCTCTCTGCCTGGAGCAGCTCAATGATCACAGGCATCGAGCTTCCAGCTAAACATCTCTCAATTTTCACCGCAGGCACTCAGGGGGAGTTATTCTCACCACGCACGGTGCCTGCTTCAGGAATTTCTCTTAGGATTCAGCGCAGCACAGAGGAAAGTGAAGCTGTTTATGGGAACAGCAGCTGCACAGGGTGGAAGGGGAAGTGTGTCCAAGGACTCAGAACAGACAACTAAAGCACTTAACCTGCTGGGGTTTTTTTTAAATTCTGTGAGGGATAGACTCACATGAAATTGCAACACTTATTCCCACCTAGGGTGGACGGTGGCTGCTGCAGCTGTAATACAGAAACATTTCAGAGGCCAAAGACTATTCGAAATATAAGTGTAACACGATGCCACCGTGAGTTCCCGTTATCTGGGACTGAGGACAATACAACAGAGTGTAAAAAAAAAAAAAAAAAAAAAAAAAACAAACAACCAAAAAACCAAGAAAAAAACAGAAAAACAAACACGAGAGAGCAAAACCAGGAGGACGCGGCCGGGCACCTACTGGAGATCCAGCGCACCGGGTGGAACGGGTCGAGGCCGCTGAGCACGATGAAGGCCGCGGTGCAGAGGGGCAGCAGCAGCACG